TGGTCGAATGGAGCTCCATGATTGACTCTGCCGACTTTGAGTCAGTTTTGACAACTCAAAATACACTTTTGTTTTAATAATACGTCAAAAATGCTTATGTGGTCTTAGCGGTGCTATAGAAGAAAGCTTTTAGGAACTTCTGTCTTAGTTACTTAGAAGGTTAAAACAGATGTAAAAAGTGTATGTAAAYCTCTTGTCAAACATTGCGTGCGATACATGGATTTGCTGAGGCTATTTAACGTTATATCAGATGACAAATGATATGGCTCTGCGATGAGTACAGACAACAGTAAACGGGAGTCTAGCTCACGTCATGCTTGTTGGGGGTATCAGACACAAGCCTACCTCCTAATGAGTTCGCGATGGCTTCATTATCAGTACGTCATGATAAAACTGGCAGCGTATCGAGATGGCCAAACTAATGAGACATCGCAAAGTTGACGAGTCCACTAAACCTCTTCCTCTCAGACACCTACTCGAAAACTGGGGGCTGGAACTTATATCAGTCTAGTCTAAAACTCCTCTCATAAGGTCAAAGCTCAAACTGCCTTGATTTGTTCCTTCAACGTGTTCAATATGATAAATTATTATTCTTCCTTCCGTATGCGAGAAGGGGTAGAAGAACTGAGGTGCTACATGACTGGGCTCATGTGATGATATAGCATGGTTGCTTCCGGGCTATATTGGGAGGTCTGTTGTGTTAGGTCCTGTCTGAAGGTACTGTACACGTAACCAGTTAATATGATGTTCTTGAACCACCGTTTCAGTTTAAAACTACCTTTTCTGCATTTTCTCATCGATGAACTAAGTCATTTTCCAAAAAAAAGAAAAAAGAAAAAAAAGTGGGGGGGGGGGGGGGGTAGAAAGTGAAATCAAACTTTCTATCGCTAATACCAATGAATGCGGCCGTACGTTACATCAATAGATATACAAGAAAAATGTTAACATGAATTGAAAGGGAATGAACACCATATCTCGTAGCCATACAATCGAGAATTACTCATCATATTCCCAGGGGGTTAAAAGCTGCAGCACTCGTTAATTTTCATGCGTAAGTTGAGGAGMATGTCATAATAAGACTAAGTTATTGCCAAAGACCGACTATAATTATCACCAATCAGAATAAAAAGAGCCCTTAAAAAGGAATAAATAGAATTAAAGGTCATTTTATTGGACGATCAGGTAAAACACAGCACGAGCTAGCATGGAAAAACAGCCTTTCTTGGTGACTCATTTAGAAGCGAAATGGTTTTAGGAAACTAAGGCTGCGTTCATAATGAATGGCAAACTTATAATTCTTTATTCATCTCAGTGAAYATCATCGCGCACCGCTTAACGGGCATGCGTTTTCAGTTTTGATATCTCGCATAAAGGATTGGTGCAGCAGTAGACTTCGGATCAGATTCAATTGGATGGAATATTTCCCCTTTAGAGTTTTTTGATTGGTTCATTTGAGAGCCGTACATCCACTCAAAATKTCCTCCACATAATGACAATAGCGGTATACTTAAAGAACAGTCAATTAACTACCGTTGCATGTATTTTGGAGTATAAGTAAATGACAAAACTTTAGAATAAGAAATGCTCAAAACTCAACTTATTTTATCTTATTATTATATTTTGTAATCCAATTTTAATCAACAAGACTATAATGAAAAATTGTCCAGGAGTGCATGAATGACTAGGAATTTACTTCAATGTTTACCTAAAAAATAGTAATTTGAAATAAGCCAAAATTAACTGAAAAAAAAAACTAAATGAAAACAGCAATTAACAAGTACCTTTTTTATTTAATTTAAAATTCTTCCTGTGCTAAAGTAGACCCCGAGGCTGCGAACGACTTTAGCTCCTGGTCGCCATCTTGAATTGAAAAACGGTGACGTCATAACAACTCCGAAACTACGTTAAAAAAACTAGCTSGCTTTCCATTGCACTTTGATTTTATATTACAAAGCACATAAATACAGCCATAGCACTYATGAAAGATTGTTTTCGATATTTTRTTTAGCTTTATAGCAACAGTTTTCTTTTRAGTTGCATCTCTATTAAGATAGTTAAATAAGTACTAACCAAAACACCATATCAAAAGACTGTGTAACTACGAAACAGATTGGKTAATATTCTGCCTTCAGGCTATATGACAGCAGAAGGATTTTTGATAATTATTTTCGACGCAGCTAATTTCGTGGATATTCCGTCTTTTGAGAAAACAAACTCATTGTGAATTAATTATTCAAAGCGCTCGCGTCTGCCGTGAAAAATACTTTGTTTTCCTAAGTTTTATAAAAAAAAGATTTGAAATTAATATGTAAATCGCCTAAAATGGTCGTACTTAAACTTAATCCAGGGATTGGAATAAATGGATCATAAMTCTTTTATTTGGGGCGTTTTTTAAACTTTAAAGTTCTTAGACGGGCTTAGAATGATTTATTTGAACTAAACTGAAGCTAGATCGCTACACCTGTCCCTACAAGTGTCATAAGGACGTACACTGTAAAGGCCACGGACTAGTTTTTGATTTCTGTTTTCTTTGCTCTATACTAAAACGTCACATGTACGTGTACAGTACTTCGTTTTGACATATATTTTGGCCAATCACAGAGTACTCAAGTACCTCGAGAAAAATATAGGTTTCCCATTTTTTCGAACTTTCGAACTTTAAGACTGTTCTGCTCTACAGTGAAATGCTCGAGTGTGGAAACGCAAAAAGAGCTGTTCTATATCCTAATAACTTAACTGAGCTCTGACACCAATCAGTGCCTCAAAATCGTTCGTAAATACAAAAGTTTACTTACCAGAATTCTGGTTGATTTCCACCCTTTTTTATTCATCTACTTTGAATGTCATCTAGCGTAGTCGATTCCCCAGGAGTTTTGACGCGCAACGCGCTCCAGACAAAAGTGGTAGATAGACCTTCTTCAATTATATGGCAATCAGCGCTGATTGGCTGAAACATCGAAACAAAAATCAGTTTTCAATTTGTTGAAGATTTCCTTTGCTCTCAGTGGACGGTGTACACTGTAATTACACAACGAATGCGGTAATGAATGGCTTATAGTCTAAACGTTATCTGATGTCGTACGTCTCCTACCGATTGCTTACAAACAATGACATAAAAAATTGTTTAAAAAGAATTTAAATAAAGCTGTATGTACGCTGCTTGACCTCTACTCTAGAGAATCCTCGTGGCTTCAATGCTTTCTAACGTTTTATCGATTCACATATATATTCCGGTTAATTGGTGTGGTTTTAGCTTCGTTATTGAACCTTATTTTCATCGTTAAATCCTAAAACAAAAATCATGCACTTTATAATGAATCGTCGTTTTCTGCCCACGAAAAAACAGTCGATATACAGCTTAGGTTTCGTATGCCAAAAACACGACATATCGTTTATCATTGTCATATTGTACGCTCCTTTGAGGTTGTCGCAAGTAGACATTTGTGTTTGCTTGAAGCAAAAAAGAAAAGAAAAGGAAAAGAAAAAAGAAAAAAAGGGAAGAAAAAATTCTGGCTGTAATTATTATGGTGGTCTGCCTCGCAACCTTAAACTAATTAGCCCTATTCCAAATGAAAGTAGGAYATCTAAGGCATCTATATCCGACGTGTATCTATGTCTATATCTATACAAGAACTATTATCTTTCACGAAGGAATTTCATGAGCAACATATACAAATGAAAAAAATAACTTTTATGAATCAAATCGCATGTCATATAAAAAWGCCGGGCGGATAACTAGAAATACCTAGGGTACCAGGGGAATGGGAAAATGCTGAGCCGTATGGCAGGGAAGGTTCTAGCAGTTGCGGGTTTCATTCCATTCCAACATATTCGGCAAGCGGGTGAACTATATGAATTTTTAAGATTTCACTGAATGATACTGTCGACGACAGTAAAATGGCGGGAAATATGTTTCATGTCAATTGATTGTTCATGCTCTTTTTACATGATACTTGGTGATGAAAAAAGAAATCGTGCTCCGCTCTTTTTGACTAGAGGTTGTAGCCAAGTAGATAACGGTCAAAAATAACTTACTYTTCAAGCCAAAAGTATACAAATGTAACTCTCTTTGATGTTGTCATTTTACGAGCTAATCAAGCGATAGATATTTGCATTYACTCTAAAAAGAAAAGATACCTTTGCCGATCTTCCAGAATCCAAACACTAAAGCACTTGTTATCTTCCAAACAAATACCTATGCCAATTAATTCCATTTAATTAATWATGGATGGCTATTAAACTTGCTAACTCCGATTAGGTTGAACAAGTACGCGCGTTCCTCATTGAACACTACGAATAGTCGGAGGTAGCTATTGGTATCTATGCAAGAGCGGCTCAAATTGAACTAACCAAAACAGATTGGGATAATAAGCCATGCTACGAAATAATCAGTAGCCTAGAATTTTTAAGTACACAGTTTGAAAGACAAATATAAATATACATCACCAGCGGCATCTCTTGCCATTTTTGCCGCTTCCCATCCAAGGCATCAACATAACAACAAAGAACTGYACGGTTCACAGCGCTCATGCTATGAGAATTACCTTGCCTGATAATAAAAGGTGATGTACGCCGACAATTACCYTGAGTGCAGTTGCCTGTTCATAGACAACATCATGTCTGAGAAATATTTAATGATAACTGACGAAAACAGCTGAAAGGACGGGAAAGGGTGAAATCCGCTCCACAAGCACACGCGGGACAAAGTTCGAAGCATGATAAAATGGAAATAAAGAGGATAAATAACGAAGGGATGAAAGAAAAAAAATTGGCTCTTTCCTCAGTTTCTGGTTTGACTCTTTTGTGAAGAAATCTTGCACATTGGAGAAAGAAAGAAAGAGAGAGAGAGAGAGAGAGAGAGAGAGAGAGAAAGAGAGAAAGAAAGAAAGAAAGAAAGAAAGAATAAAAGGGAAAAAAGAATGTGTGAAAACAAAGCTGTGTGTATCCATGACAACACAGTTGAAGATTCCAGTCCCCCGCACCAATCTGCCAGTTTATAAAGTAGACAGATGAGCATTTGTACTGATCAATATAGTGATGCATCTATCTCGAGTAGCTTTATCTAAATCCCTTTATGAGAGTAACATGCAGCCATATATGTGGACAAGGCTAATGGAGCCTCTTGTGGCATTCCTGTAGCTTAAGTCAAATATCATGGTACGTTGATTCATGACTAAAACCTGGATTCTATGACTATCGATTATGTTGGTATGATATACTCACAATGGCATTTTTTAAGGTATTCCTATCTCCTACCTTGATAAAAAATTTTAAGTGTATGTAAATTAAATTTTCCTAACTCAGTTGCTTTCGCCTTACAGACATATTGTTTTGTTTTTACCGAAATAACAAAAGTTCAAATATTTTCATAGTAAATGGAATCACTTGACAATTGATATCAAAAAAGATAAACTCAGTATGGGAGATTTTTGAAGTTTGTTTTTTTAGATTTTTTCCAGAGTATTACTTGAGGTTTCAATGATGCTCGCGTTCTTTTGATCATATTTTGTCACTCTTGGCTTTTACCTTAAGTGCATCTTTGAATTTTCCACAAAGCTCAGAACGCACAGAATTAAGTGGCCGCTTGTTAACATCAAAAAATTGGCTTTCAGTCAAAATTTATTCGAAAGCCTTAAACCCACGCGGTGACACGAATATCTCATATACACAGACACAACTTCGCTTTCTACCTAAATATATCTAGAACAAAATTTGAACGATTTCGAATAACGTAGTCTTAAAGTCTCAGATGTACCTTTTGTATTCAGGAAGTAAATCGACGGAAGGATTTATCAACTAAAAATACATAACAGGTGACTGTATAAAGCTATCTATTAACAGCCTTCGTTAATAAGAAGGCCTTTCTTTCTGACCCCTCTGTCTTATGACATCATCACTACCGATGACAAAGGCGCCGAACGAAGCTTAAAGAACGACATTCGGTAATATATCCTTGTATTTGCGTTCATATTAGGTTTGGCTATTGTTTTTGGATTTTTAATGGTACAAATGCTTCGAAATCACTCTTGAACGTCAATTAAAAGTTAAAATGGTCTTCGACTTCGTTACAAATGTTAATGAGCAAATCCATGCAATATCGTTTTTCTCTAGCTGGTTTTCCCATTTTGTTTTTTCTTCCTTTTTGTGTGGTTGAATTGTGTATGAAATATTTTACTTTGAGTATAATAGATTTTCATCCACTACGACATCTTGCCCTCCCACGCTTGCCTCAAGTTTATTATTTTTCATTCCGTTAAATTTGATATTCATTTCATGTAACGACATTAAGAAATTATGTGGTTCAAAAAGAAAAAAAAAAAAGCTATTCCAGAAAAAGCAACCATCTGCATTCAGATTTTTTTTTCCAGAGAAAAACGTTAAAAACTTCATTCCCATTTTCTCATCAACGACATACACTATAATTAATATCTCTCTACACATTTAACTTTCTATTTCTTCTCGTTATCCTTTTCCCTCAGATATTAGTAGTAGTTATTCTTATATTCCATCATGTAACTACGACATAAACAATTTCTCTCCGGGAACATTTGCATTTTGCATTCTATTTTTTTCCATTTCCTTTCTCGATTTTCTTCCCAACGAACGGATATTTCGGATATTAAATCATTAAAAGCCATGAACATACTATATAAGGTTTCCCCATATAGTTTGCATTTTACGTTATAATTAACATAATAATCTGCTTCAGACCACGTACCGGAAACACCCCTTTTTCATGAAAGTAGCTTCTCTAAACTGATGAAAACCGGCTCCTGCCAACCGACCTGCGGTGAGTCACCAACCATGCAGCAAACGGCAAACAGAAAAAAAAAGAGGCAATCACCGCCAATCGATCATTCATTTATTAAAGACATTCGTAAATAATTCCAAAGCAACCACAATATGCTCAAGATCTACTGGAAGGAAGTCAAATTCCAGGGGTTCCAGTGCGACCTTCTCCTTAAAATCGTTGTAATATTTGAACCACTGGTGAAGGACTCCTTGAAAACACCACCATATGTACCCGACTTGGAGAAGAATATCGTACTAAATCAAAGTCCAATATACATTAGTGTTTTGGCCGGTTTTCCTGTTATTAAGAGCTATATGTGGTGTTCTATGTCAGATGTTTTATGCCTCTATAAATAACACTGAGCCCAGGACAATGTCATTTGATCAAAAGCGTGGATGGATCACTTGAAAACCTTTCGTCAGTACATAAACTATTGACCCAAGGATTCCTAACTATCCACGCGTCGATCGAAAGGGCCACGCGAATACAATCCCTATTATGCCAAAAAGAAAGGAATTCCTCTTCAAACGTGGAACGCATAAGGGAAACGTGATGCGTATAATTCCCCACAACCAGGAAATACTCAGATATATTGGCCTTAAAACCTCAATCAGAGAAACTTGGAAGGGAAAGACCGAATCAATGACAGCATTGAGAACGTAAATCCGATCGAAATAGTAGTTATAGATAGTTAAATGCCACAGCAGAAAGATAGCCATAGCAGCATAAAGCTTTTTTTTTGCGCCCTTAAATATCAAATTGGCGCAACACAAGGCTACAGTTAACCAAAAAGTTAATTAACTTACGATTTTTGTCTGAATCTAGCGATCTTTTATCTTGGTAACCTTAGGCTGGTCCTCTTATGTGACGATGAAAATCACTAAATAGAGATACTGAGAGAGAAGAAAACCCAAACAAATAATACTCGATTGACTCTCGTTATGTTCGTGACCCCAGTGGGTTTGTTTATGAATCCATATTTCAATTTTTCATGTCGCCCTTTTCCTAGAATAGATTCCTATTGGAGTACGCAAACTTTAAAAGAGCACCGCGAGTGATTGATCGAAGATTTCCCGTAGCTGGCGGTCTTTAATTCATTTTTAAGAGGGATACTTGAAGTTTTCGGTCTTGATGTTCTACTGGCTAATCCCCCATGAAGAACTCTCTAGTTATTGAGAAAGCGCTTTTACCTTTACGATCCAATGCTTTTTTGATTTCCTCTTTTGATATGTGAAGTGGCGGGAGAGAATAAAGGCTGGAACTAAGATCTAATAACCCTTTAAAAACACCTCGTACAGGTTATAAATGTAGGTAAAATATAGGTTTTAACTATTCCTAAGGCATTTGCATGGTATGAACAACCTGATAAAATGGGAAATAGCCAGTCGAAATGAAGTCGTCAAAGAACATAGTTAAGTAAATAAAAAGAATAAATAAAACTGGGAATAAGTAAGTATGCGAATAAAGTAAGAAGAAATATGAACATGTTCAATTTGCAGTCAGTAAATGAAAAGCACAATTAATAACCATCTATCCAATGATTGTTAATTATATTGATCAGTGAAAGAATAAATAAATGAATGAACGCAAACACCTATTGAATGAATGAAATTGAAAGTTGCCTGGAAAATATGAATAGGTCATGAGACACGAACAAGGGAAAAAATAGGAACGAAACTTAGAAATATGTGAGTGAAATCAGTGAACTTGGCAACCAAGGATTAAAAAAGATCGAATAAGATGTGAGAAGCATCATGAATGAACAAGTGACCATTAATTGCTTGAATATAGACATGCATGATAAAATGGTGCAAATATGCAAACTATATTATCTCCACCCAATATCGACACGAGATCTCCCTTCCTGGACGTGCCAGTGACTCGACCTTCAAGATAAATCATGCTGCGGCAGGAAACAAAACTTTCAAAGCCAACACAGTGTTTGCTGTTTCATTAAATATGTTGTTTGGACTGTACTTGAAATCTGAAGACCCAAACTGGTTGTTGTATTTGATTTCCGATTGCTCCACTTACATTGCTAAATTGAATATTTTTTCCGATTCGTTTTTACAAGTAGTAAACTTATGTCTGGGTAATGTGAAATGCATATATCAAATTAATTAAAAAAAAAGTATATTTTTTGTTTTATTTTTGCTGCTCTTTTTTCGTTTTCCCTAGCTCGGAGGTGTCCAATTTATATTTGCATTTACGAATTAGCTCAAGTTGAGCTAGATTATTTTTTGTTTTCAGTCATCAATAACATTTTCCTTTCTCGAAGTGTTTCAAAAACCCCATCAAAACCACAAGATTCGCAAGATTTTAAAAGAATAACTGCATCGCCACATCGCCCACGGTTTGATTTTGATAGCTTTGTCGGTCTAATATTCACAAGTAGGGAAAATGAAACATTTAGAATTGCAATTAGAAGGTCAAATGGTTCTTGGAACGATTTTGCTGATAATGAAAAAGAAAATCAAATTTCTAAAAGTACTTTGATTTTAAACTGACGTCGGCTATATACGTATCTTTAGTTAGCTATCTATCTTGCATATGGTTTTAAAAGCCAGTAGATTGACAATTTCAAAATCAGGCAGACGGACGGACGGACAGACAGACGGACGACAGACAGACATATAGACAGACATATAGACAGACAGACAGACATATAGACAGACAGATAGACAGACAGATAGACAGACAGACATCCAGTGAATGATGCAGACGTCAAGCAATAATAACTATTAAAATAACTGGACCAAACATTCTTTCCCAATTAATCCCTCGGTGAAAGACTGCTATAATCATTCAATTGGATTATAGTTATATTTCATTCATTTACATATTTACGTTCATTTTCTAACTCATATTGTTTCACTTACTTTTGAGTAATTCGTCCTTATTCGATGCAGAAGTTGACAGGTTCTTCTCCCTCTTCCTGGAGCTTCTTTCACTCTGTTCGTTGTCTTATCAACCTTTTTCAGCATTGATTTTAGAAGTGTGTCTCAATCTAATGTTAGAGAAAAGTTTATTGATTTTACGTAAAAAGATTTTGGTAATTTGATAAGGAAAGAATGTCGTTGCCGTCTGCTTGACTATACATCAAAATACCAACCTCATAATTTAGTAACCTCAATGTAAAATAGAGACATAATAAATTTTAAAAATATAAAGCACTAAAGAGGACCAAAAATAACCCGCTATGGTGAACTCGATAAAACAAAAACAAAACACCATTAGGTTGGTACTTTTATATATTTATGTTTTTCCTTGAATTCTCCTTAATTAGTTTCATTTTTTGACAGTACTTGTCGTTTCGTCCCATCCCAACCGTTTCCACGCGCCCACACACAGGCGAGTCAGTATCCGGTGGTTTGGATGAATTTAATTCTTGGCTTAGCCGCTCAACTGCTAAGCCTTTCATTCGGTTATGATACACAGTTATATTGGAAAAAATATGACTTGTTTAGCGCATCTAATCCTACCTGATGTATGCCTTCCGACAGTTCTTCAAAACCCAGTCTTCTTCCAAGACTTGTGATGTGAGTTAAGCCAGAAGAGTTCGAACTCAAAGTTTTTCCCCTTGGGAGTATTCAACCTCAACTTTTTCCCCCTTGGGATATAAAAGTTCTTCGACAAGGCTTCTATTCACAGCAGTGTCCTACATACGATAATCGTCGACGTAATATTTTCTCGTCGAAAGACTTTGACCGTTCTATACAATAAGACTTTGACCCCATGAACAATATCATTACATCTTCAACTCCAAGTAGAATTTGGTTAATACGAATGAGAAATAAATAAAGGATTTTAGATCCTCAATCTTTTTCGCCCATGACGCGATATGTTTCCTGGATTTTTCAATCGATTTTCAATCATTTCCCATATTGAAGAGCTTCAGGAAGAAAAAACAATACTCAATGATCCTGTAAGCTTTTCCTCAAGACAGATAAAATCAGTTGGTAGAGATCAATTTCTGTATCGATTATTGATGACTCATTTTTCATATGGTATGCGACTGATAACAAAAGTTGAAGATCCATGTTTTTATATAGATTCGATCGCATGAACTTCTCATGGCTCACAATTTTCAGCCACTTTGACAAACAAATATGAACAAAATACTAACAACAAAAATAACATCGAAATAATAAACCACGCACAACTATATTACGTTGGATGATTTACGATAAGCTCCAAGTCCAATACATTTATGACGAGCTAGAGAAATGTAATATTAAATTTTGGCCTTAAAATCGAGGAGAGATGCAGTTTCGCACGTTCACGTTTCGTTCGTTGTTGTCGGTTTTTTAAGGTGCCTAATGCCGCAGCAAATTCACTCTGATGCAGCCACGTTGTCCTGTATAGTCGCATGCTTGCTTAATATCTTTTTTGTATTCCCGTCTTTCTTAGAAATATAACCCCGAGTGGAGTTACGCTATTGAGCTGGTATACCAGATCTTATTGTTGTAATCAAATATAAACTTTGTCTTTAATTGAAATATATTTGGCCTAAAAAGCACGAAATATACATTGTTTCTACTTACAAATGAATCGAAATGAATCTAGCTATATAAATAAAAAAAAAGTTGAATAAAACTACAGCTGAAGATATTACATCCTTGAAATAGAACTTGAGGTGGAGCCTTTTTGATGAATAATACTTACAAATGGTCACTTTTGCAGTTTGCCGACGGGCGTTTTAAAGATCATCGAGTTGGCTATCTATACTTTTTTAAAGTGTTTAGAACGACAATAAAAATATCTTAATTAATAACTGTTAGGAAAATTAATGGAAAACTCATCCTTAGATCGATGTGGGTGGCACTTCGATAAAACAGAAGAAAAATAAAAAGGAAAGTGGGAGGGAAGGGAAATAAGAGGGAAAAAAGGATGAGAGGATGGGATAGAGCCCTTATGATATTTTTATTTTTTCAAGGTGGACGTCTTCGAACAGATCCACTTAATGGAATCCACAAGAAGAACTCGCAAATCAAGCAAAACAAATTAACGCAAACCAAAAACAAACTAAAAAGTGTATCGTTCAAAATGCAAAATGAGTGACCATTTGATTTTCGAGAATAAAACATTTACTAAACTGAAAATAAAAAGTTCCGCTAATTAATAATTAATATACATCGTATCCAAAATATCGTATCTTACTAAAACTACAGCTGGCTTCCACTAAAACTATTGATTTCATATAGTAAAATGAAGTAAAAATAAAATCCTATCTACAAGTCATAATAAGCATCACATTCTGAAATGGATGGTAGAAAAATGCGTATAAAATATTACAAAGCGCCTAATTGCGTTGCTAACTATTCACTTGAAGTTTCATATACACACCTTGGTTTTAAAAACCTGTCTTTACATTATTGCTCTTTATTCATTGCAATTTAACTTATCCTACGACGACTACTATTCGTTAGCCAGCTACCTCCTAACAAAATCTAACGACTTCAGTTTTTCATTTTCCCTTTTTCCAGTCATCTTCAATGGGCATTATAAATAACGTATCGTCTTGGAAGGCAGCTGGTGCTCGGATGATCAACAATCCTGTTAATCCGGTCAAATAGGTTAAGCAGGTTCGTTGGACATTTCTCTTAAATGAACCTGATGAGAACAGAATATTTGTTAAATTAGTAAAGTGTGAGTCAAGTGTCAGATTGGAAATTAATCAATAATGAAAGGGTAATAGAAAAACAGCTCGCGCGTTTTCAATGTAACAATACCCAGGTTTTTGCGTTATTGACATATCTTGCTGGATGAAAAGAATGGGAGGAATGAGATAGAAAACAGAGAGGGCCCCAAGGCACGAGTGGTCAGGAGTAGCTGTTTTCCCAGCATACCCTCATCCCCACCCTCCCATGCCTGGGGAAATATCAAGCGAAGGAAAGAAATCAAGGACACCAACGCCTCTGCGTGTTTTGTGTGATGGGAGGAATCCATCAGAAATATATACACCCAGCATCCATTACAAGAAATAAAATAAAGGTGAGGAGGTGAGGATATAATGGATGACTTTAAGAATGCTTCCACAATACAACAACAACGACACCATTACCAACAACTACGACGACGGCGATGATGATGAGAAAATTTTAAATATAAAAATAAAGCAAGAATAGACTTAGGCGATAACAAAAGCAGTCTGTGCATTTTTTAGTTAAGAAATCCGCGTATTTAATCACAAATGACCGAGTCATCTTCAACCAAACTGTCAACGAGCAAGATAAGAATTGTTGAGTTTCTTTTTTCAATTATAAAATATTGATGATGAAATAACTGAGTTGTACGATTGACAGGATACTAATTTGTGATAAAGATGAGATAAATCATTTCCATATGATATTTTGTCAAGTTTAGGCAATCTGTTTTCTTCGAGTTTATTCGTTGAAGTGGTTTTATCGAACAACCAAATTTCAAATTTGGTAATGATTTTCGAATTTTGGGCTTGGAATGTAGAAAAGAATTTTCATTTAAAGTTTTATTCTCAACAGCTTTTTCTAGAAGTCATGTATCTTAATTGTTTTGGAAGAAAAAAAAATGTCTTTAAATTTGTTTGGGATGGTAAAAGAATCGACCTTACTGCTAATGAAGTCCAACACATCACACCAATCAATAACAGATGGGACCATGTGTCATAACTGATTCATTTATCGGGAAATTCGCTGTGAGCAAAAGGCGTTGGTCTACACAACACATTAACTACATGTTCTTACGATATTATTAACTCAGCAATAGCCCTGAGACACTCTGCTAATCTACACGAAAATTAATTATTGCCAGAGTTGAGTGGAGTTAAATGAATATTTAGCGACAGAATGAACACGGTGCATTAGAACTATAGGGTTTATTATTGGTTCTCTGATCATAAAAATTGCTTTGCTTCATCAATGTTTTAATGACGAACACCGCCTTATTTATTGTTTGCCTGTGTGTCTAAAAACATTTCTCTCTCTAGAAGACAAACGTAACATCTTGAATGTGGGGATTTACTTCGGTATCTACCTTTGAAGCATGCAATATGAATACATTGAGAGGAACGTATCCACCCATTTGATAACAATCTGCTCGTGCAAAGAAAATATACAGAAATAAAATAATTTTGTCTTTCGTATAATTGACAAAAAGGGAGAAAGAAAAAAGGAACAAAAATAAACAATTCGAATGAACTGATGATATCAGGATGAATCACCCAAGGTTATCACAAGAGACCCAATTTCGATAAGAAACTCTAGAATGTTCTTGCTCCGTAAGCTAGCATAGCATCCGATCTGCGGCCAAACCAAAGACTAACAGAATACGAACCTACGGCGATTGATTGATTTAGAATACAAAAAAAAAAAAAATTCATTCAAAACGGATACTGTAGAAAAGGAGGAATAAAAACTGAAGACGACGCCTATAAGGGAGTCATTAGATTCTTTAGCTTTGCAATACTATAACAAAGCTGCTGTTTATTTTGACATTTCGTATCACCAGTAGGAAGGGAAAATGGCGTGTGAAATTGTGTAAAGGTGAAGAAGAGAAAAAAGAATAAATGAAAAAGGGAAATAGGAGAGAGAGAGAGAGAGAGAGAGAGAGAGAGAGAGAGAGAGAATGAGACGATTTACAGAATGAAGGATCATTTTTGTTCGCATTTTCAACTTAGGTAACCATGTACAATAGGTGTAAGAGACTGTATTCGTTTAGGAAGTATAAAGCTTTTCATTTTGTCAACAAGTGGCTTTTAGAATTGCATGGTTTTGGCTCTTATCTTTTAAAACGCTTATCTTTTGATGTCTTACAGCTTAGTGATAATCCAGTACTTTTTAAGATCGATGTCTACATCAACCTTGATAAGAAGATTTTTTCGCATTTCTGTATTGTAATAAAAAGTAGTTTGTACCTTATATTAAATCTCTCGTTATACAAAGCTTTTAACCTAGTCCAAATAAATAAAGGGATAAGAAAGTTTGACACCCAGTAAATTAAAACTATAAATTTCTTTTTGAAAACTTTTGGCAGCTTGTCGCCTGTTGGAAAATCTCACAATATAAAGGTAATGAGGACTAAGAAATATTCCCTTCAATTTCTTTTCGGATTTTTCTCTTCTTTTCCGACTTTTTTCTCAAAAAAAGCCTTGCAGAAGTCGTGTTAAGCTTCGTATTTTAATCTTATCGCATTTTTTTATTGGTAATTAAAGGCTATTCTCAATAGAAAATGGTATTTATCGCATGATGGTTGAATTCAAACTCAAAGATAAACCCACTAGAGTAAAATTTAAACAAAAAGAGCAGCTACTTATAAAAGAGATCTTGCTAAATCCAGATTAGTACGTAATCCTTCAACTCAAATAAAGTGCATTCATGTTTAATCAATATGCTCCATCGTCGATTTTTGAAAAATCTTCGTTCAATTGGTATTATCTACTACTCCATCCTTATCCCCATTCACGATAAGGAACTCGAACAAATCGCACGTACACCAAGGTAAATCTAATTTCAAGGATGTAGGCTTAGAAAACCTAAGATTATATGATTATAAATGCCCTTCAAGTTTAAATATCACACAGTATCATAGCACTCAAGACCTAAACGCAAGACTTGTATGCTGCAGTGCCTGTCAAGTTAAAGGCGATTTTACATTGTCAATGGCAAACTTAGGTCACTCTCTTTTGCGTCCTTTTCCTTTTAACAAGTCAATAGCATATACTATGCTATTTATACTGCTTTACAGGGAACCGTAATCATCTAGATCCTGCCAAACCATACTCAAAACATTCTAAAGATTATTTGCTCAAAATTACACGCTTGCTTTTCGAGAACATTCGATTCTGTATAAGTTTATGAGATGAATTAAAGAACAACAAAAATGTTTATCAAAAGGGCGTGCGTATCTACGAACGGCAGGGTAGCAGGCTTCTGAAAACTAGCGATCAAAACTTATCAAAACAACTTTAAAACGTTTTAGCATAACAATTATCCAACTCCTTTTAATCACATAAGCTCATAAATTTACGATAAATAAGGGCAAAAACAAAGGCGTTAGAAACACAAAGTCATTAAGCCTCGGGGTACATCATAACAGCGGGCCTTTTCACAGCAGGGCACTGGATGCATAAAATGCCCGGAAAACTCGATAAACTGTGTGGGGTCCCATTAAATAAGGGCCCCACTGAGCGTCATTCCTGTTTACACTGTGATGAACAAGCTAATAAATAAAAAAACGGTTCCTAAAAACGATAAACACATTATATTTCTGGAGAAAATAACGCAATTTTGAAAAACTGCCGTTTCCTAAGGAAAGCAAACATGAATTGAAATTCAAATTAAATAACGAGTTCTGATACTTTCCTAGAAAAAACAATTAGCATTAAGTAAGGCGGACAATGAACTAAAGGGTGTGGCATCTCTGGGTTTGCAATGTGTCGCGGGGCTATAGCCATGTTTGTGATTTTTTTTAACTCAGAAGACATGAATCATAAGATATTATTTTTTCTTTGGATACAAACAAACTAGCGATTATTAAACTGGCATGGACTGCATCGATAAAAAGGCAACGTGGAAAATAATCGATAAATGAATGTAAAACACACTGTATATGACAAAGATAATTACAGTAATCTTAATGACGTTTTGGGGTGCAGCATATGTCGTCATGGAGATCATCGGCAATGTCGTATGGATGTTGACCTAACATTGTCTTCATAAGTTGGTTCTACCCAAATAAAAGCGGGCCTCTTATGTTCCCGCAACTATGATCTTCTCATTCTCGTATCCAGAGCTCCTCGGCCTCGTTCCTACCCGTCGGAGTAGGAACGAAGCCCAGGAGCTCTGGGTACGAAAATGTGCCGTTTTTGCTACATTACTACGGAGTTTGCGCACAAGAAGAAAAAAAAACTAGACCTTTTATTTAAGAGTCTCAAACATCCTCTGAGCTCCGTTGCAAAAAAACTGTTCACTTAAATAAAAGACCATTGTTGAAGGAATGTTGAAGAAACATTTTATCAGAAGTGTGAGATATCGTATCGTTTTCTAATTATATGGGAGGAAGCCGGAAGGTTGGAAGGTTTGAAGGTAGATAGGATACACGTTTGCATCAAAGCTCTATGGCTACAATCAACATTTTCTAATTATAAAATATTCTTTAAATTTTCGTTCATGCAAGATTGAGAGACATTCCATGCGAGCGAACCTAAGTAACTAACAGTACATATGACGGTAAATATAGCTTTATAATTTTTGCTATATTGCACTCAAAACACAATGAATTGTAAGGAAGAATAGGTTGAATTGCTCATGTTCTTGCAGATAAGCGTTATTTATATCACACACACACACACACACACACA